GGTTAAAATAGTGTTCCAGACAAACACTACCAATTACCAACTGAAAGGAGTTTGTAGCCATTTGTCATCTAGTTCTAGAAGGTAGATATACACTTCAGGTTAATCTTACCACTAATTGTAGGAATTTTCACTTATCAACACATTCTTGTGTTTATTAATTAATGAATACATTCACTAAATTTTTATTGCATACCTACTGGATTTTACTACTCATCTAATCATTCAGGATACAAATTTCAATGAGACATGTTTCTTATCTTCAAAATTCAGGGGATAGAAGACATAGGTATAGTTTCATTCATGCATCCCCATTCATGCTTTTAAAAATATTTATTTAGTGTCAACCATGCATCAGGCACTGTTCTAGGTTCTGGGGATATAGGTATGTTGTGATGCAAATATAATTATGCTATATTATTATATACAGCATATATGTAATAGGTACCAGGTGCTATAGGGACACATCGGTGGGTGGTCATAGGTGAATGCAATGAAGAAAGGTCAATGGAAGAAGTGGTACCTAAGCAAAGTCTTGGAAGACATAAAATCATTTTTCTGAATAGGAACTTTTATAATAATTTCAAGAAATGATGGCTATAATAGTCACCATTTCATTTATTTTGCCCGTAAATAGTCCTCATTTAGGCAATTTATTTATGTTTTCTCACTTATGTCTCATAACAGAGCTTTCTAAAGACTCTATTTTATGTATGATAAAGTTACCCATCCAAGATGTGACAGAACAGATTAAAACTCAGGTCTGTGTTCTTACCCACTATACCATCCAGCATGATTGGGGAAAAGAGTAATTAATAAGTAATACCAGGACAAAAGTCCCCAAAAGGTCTTGAGTGTCTTGATAATCTTTGACCTGTGTCCTCTAGGCAATGGCGAGTTCTCAAAGATTTAATTTAGTATTTCATGTAAACCCAGGGATTAGTACTCAAGAAACCAGGAATAAAATACTTGAATTTTTGCTGAATACCAAATAATTCACATTTTAATTTATTCTAATTCATAAAACAACTCTTTTAAACACCATTTTATAGAAGATAAACTTGTGACTTGCAAAGGCAAGTACTTGCTCCATGGTCATGTGGGTCACAAGCGATAGCATAGGGTTCAAACCTAAGCCTGACAATAAAGCACCCGCCCTTTAAGGTGCGCTCTGGTTTTCCTAAAAGTCTAGCTGTTGATGGTGGAAAAGTAAGCAATAATTAATCCATATTTATCATCTGGACATTTCTTCTGAATTATAGTTCAAATTGAACTTCTCTAGCTGTCATCCAATGGTTACCATTAAATACACTTTTATACAGATTATGGGTTGAGTCTTTAGTATATCTCTATATTTTTAAAGTACAAATGTATTTTTACTTATCATTTTTATCTTTACTTTTTTTATTGCACCACCAGGCATTACCAAGTATCCACTACTATGCTAATAGCAGTTTTCACCCTATACAGTGAATGTTATGAGATGAGCAGATTTTCTTCTCGGGTTGGAGGAAGACGATAGGAAAGGATGATTTTAATTGTCTTTTCAAGGACAGAAAAAAGAGTCTAACCTATTTGCTGCTCTAATTATTCCCTGTCACCTATGTGATTATTGACAAAGACATTGAACTGATACTATTTTCTAAAAGTTCAAGCAGATGAGGAGCATTTCGAGTATTTCTTGCAGTATTTCTGGGCAAATTGAAAATCTGTCCCTGCAAAGTCCGAGCTTTATTTCTTCTCAGCAGGTCCACCGTGTGTTTGCAGGCCTGGGGCAAGAGTTCAAATGTAGCTCCACTTACCATAAATGTAAACATTTAAAAGTTATCAAAGTAACGGACCATTACATAATGTATATTCTGGTACTTCTTCGACAAACATAGCCTCATAATAACATGAAAGGCCAGGTTAGAATTCTTGGACTTCCCAGGGGCCTGCTGGCCTGCTCCGCAAATCCAACGCCCAGCTCCATCCTGTGCTGCAAGGCCTTGTGGTTAACTCTCTCCTTACTTTAAACCAAACAGGACATAAACAGGCTTTGGCCCCTTGGTCTTGGGTTTGCACACACCTGTGACAGTCTTCCCTTAGGAGGGCAGACCTAGGAAAAATCCCACTCAGGTCCTGGAAGAGACTTGGGGTCATTTGGGCAGGGAATCCTGGGGTTCTGGGTACCCAGTGTGTGATCAAGAAATGGGGGGAACAGGAGCTCTGGAAGTGGCATGCTCTATTTCTGGGTAGAATCCTTGGCTCTGGGGTGGGGTGTGGCTGGAGGAAAAGGAATGGGCCCCTCTCAAGTGTGGGGTCCAGGGCATGGATCAAATCGTCCCTGGCCAAAATTAATTCTGCGTCTCAGCTTTGCATGGTCGCGGTAGAAGCAAGGTAGCTCTGGCCAATTTCACTGTAGGAACTGGCAGGTGAAGGCCAAGGAAGGTATAACTAATAATTTATCTTATCAAATATTAATTTATACTGATATAAAGTTTCTGAAAAGATTCTCAGCATGTGTTTGGAGCCCCTTCACTCGTTGTTTTGCACTGACTTTCCTTGTCCCGGGGCTCACTCATCAAATGGTCAAAGTGAGATTGTTTCTTGAATTATTGTGTTGTTTTGTTCTTCCTTAGCTTCAGTTATATCGACAGTTCAAGGGAGCATAACTCTTTAGTCTGGACTCCAGGTTCTTGCTGTTTAATCTTCTCTGTTCTTTTGGGATATAGACTTGGTTTGCTGAATAAGTCAATAGACTCATGGTTTTCTCTAGGCTTAGATTTTAAAGGAGGGTATTCTTTCTCCATTTTATTAACTTCCAAGTTATATTTTCCACTATAGAAAGAGACATGTAAATACATTTAGAGAAAGATATAGTAAGAGTTCTTTTTGCTATAATGTTTCTTGAGAACTATTACTATGATGTCTAAAAATAAAAGTTTATTTCCCCAATTTAATAACTTTATTTTATTCATAGAGGAGAATAAATTAAGTTCCTGTGAGCTAAGTTTCAAATACATGTTAAGGCAAAAACAGTTTCTTGGGAGGAGGGTCAGAAAGTACCTTCAAGATTGTTAAAAAACAAACTTAAAAATATTTGCTTATGCAGTGAGGGCTTTTCAAAAGCTATTTTTAAAGACTGAGGAGTTAAGCACCTGTCATTTTCTCCAGCTGGTGTAGATGTTAAGAATTACTGTCACTTTTTCACTCACTACTCTATTTTGCACCTGCTGCTACTTGAGTTATGGGCACATTTCACACATGATAATTTAATAAGGTTAGGTCCCAGGACAGTGTGCTGGATGTTCTCCCACTGGGAGTTAAAGCAATTTTATAAGGTCTTGAGAGAAAAGTATTAAATATGAAGCTTGAGACAAAAAATTTAGTGCCTTGTAGATATCACATTTTTCTAAGTGAAAAATGTTAACAGTATAAGAGATGGAAAATTTAACCATGTATTACACAGATAAACCTTTTATGATTGGACTGTTTGTATCAGTCAACTTTTCTACATGGTGACATTAGTAATTAAAAAAAATTTTTATTGCCTTATGTAACAACTAAACATAAATATGTATTGAAATATGCATTGTTTAGTATAGTTGTCATGGGCCACATATGGCTATTTAAATTAATTAAAATGAGATACAATTAAAAATTCAATTCCACAGTCACTAGCCACATTTCAACTGCTCAGTAGCCAATTGTGGCTAGTGGTTACCAATAGGACAATGTAGATGTACATTTTTACTGAGAGTTCTGTTGGACAGCGCTGTGTGAAATTTCTAGTCTCTGGTTTTAAGTAAACTTGGTCTTAAAGATCTTGGAGGCCATAGTGAATTTTCCTTATGAGTGACTATAATGTCCTGACATCATTTTGGCTACAAAAGCGTAAGTCAAAGTTGAAGCTGTTGGCTACTGGAATCTGAGTGACTTTTGCTAAAAGTAGAAATAGCATGTTGATATGAAGCACCCAACATCAGGAATAAGTTGTTTCAGCTTCCAAAAATGTCTAGCCAGGAAGGTACTTTTTAAAGATTTTATAAGCCCATCTATTACAAATATATTTTTAGAGAGTAGGGGAACTATCCCTTCATCTCTTCTAAATAGCCAACTATGAACTTACAAATTCTGCCTTTGTTCTAACCTAATCAATAGAACAAACAAGCAAGCAAAATAGAACTGGAGACATGGAAAAAAAGAACAAACTAATAGTGACCAGAGGGGAGAAGGGAGGGGGATAATGAGGGAAAGAAGGGGAAGGATCAAGTCAAGGAACACGTGTAAAGGACCCACGGACAAGGGTGACGGGGTGGTGGGGAGGCTGAGTGTTGAGTTGGGGCAGCGGGGGGAGAGCAATGGGGAAACATGGGGACAACTGTAATTGAACAACCATAAAAAGATTTTAAAATAAAAGTGATACATGATAGCATTGTGATATGATAAAGTAAGTTTACACTATGAACTTTTCTAGCAATGAGTCTTACCATTTAGGACATGTATTAACAAGTTGAACAAAGATTTTGGGACGTGGATATTGCAAAGCAGAGCGGATCATAGCAGGAGAGAGACTATTAATAGACATGTTCTTGAATAACAATCTTATCCCCAAGAGGTTTTTTTTTAAGTAACAGCTGAAAGGTCACTTTAAATTTTATCCTTGAAGACATTCAGTGAGAAGGACCAGAGCTTATTAGAATTTTCTAATAGTCTAGCTTATCACTAGATACGAAATGGATCATACCACGAATAAAATGATTTACACAAAATTGAAAAAACCTGCTTTCATCGTAAGTTTCCTGGATAGTTTTTATTAAAACATCTCTGATCCTCTGAATTTCCTCAGTTCTCCATTTCACTTTTTCAATAATATATGATTATCATTATTATTCATTTTGTTATTGCTATGTAGGCTGTAGCGATTCATTCCTGTAATGCATCAATATTCTACGCATGAACAAAAAATGAGATTTTAAATATTATGTTTTCTAATCAAGAAGACAAAAACACAATGCAACTTGAATATTACAGACTGACCAAAATTATTTATTGACTTATTAATTTAAGAATGTTCATTGACCCATGGCAGAGAATAAAGAGTGGTGCTTGGGTTTGGGATTGCCAGACTTTTATCCTTGTCTAGAACAGGAGACACTTGGTTTGTGTGGTATGAGCAGGACATAGAGGGAAACATAAGGTATAAAAAAATTCAAGGAGTCCTTCATTCTAGAACAGTCCACATTGTTTTGTTTTTCTGAATGATGGTGAACGGATCTGGACATGGGTGTTATAAAATAAGTTTCCAGCCAGTCTTTCTAAACAATTCTTGATCTGTAAAGGAAAAGAGAAAGAGTTAGATTTTGCTTGCATGTTTTCAGAAAGAAAACTGGGAAGGAAATAATGTGAAGCACAAAAGAAGAAGAAGCACAAATGAATGAGCACTTCCAAGGTAATATATTTCCTCGTTGTAAGAACCTGGTTGCAAGTGCTTAACTTTGGTTGTGATAACATGGTTTTCTAGAGCAGTAATTGTTAAAAATGACATGTGTTATTGAAAAAAATTAGGCCCATTCTTTTATTAGCATTATGTTCCTACTGAGTTAATCAACTCGTATCTACCTTGTTGAATCTCCACTGTATACTTAGAGTGCAGTCAAAGATACGGATTGTAGTTGGAAGGAAAAACCTCAGAAGTTTTTGCTTACAAACTTATACAAAACGCTCTATTTCTAAATAACTCATTTCAAGGAGTTCAAGTTTCCTGGTTAATATAAATAACTTTTAAGAGCTAATACTAATCATATCTATAGAATATAATGTGAAGTTGTTAAATTAAAAAACAAATAATATCAAGAAGGTCTTAATAATAAAGAGAAAACATACATACCTTGAGAGTTCCATTTAGATAGACATGATATGCTTGACAAAAGCTGTCAATACAGATAGTTTAGAGTTAGAAAATGGTCAAATCTAATAAAAGAGAGGTTTTGCAAGTTCTCTTAGTCCTAATTATTTTTAGCTATAACACTGGAATTTATTTTTTTATGCTCTGTATAGCCCACTATACGTATTACTGGATTTATGGCCTTTCCTCTGATTTTGTAAACTTAATTTCTGAGTAAGTCGTTGACTGTGGGAGTGGGGGGTGGGGAATGGTACATTCACATGATTAAATTTTTCTTCTTTAAAGTATGAGTGTATAACAACAACAAAAAAATGTTCCTCACCATTGTCTACAGCTGTCCTGTTTCTCTCTTTATAACTAAGTTGATGGAGCTATTATGTCTGTACATGATAATACCAATATATGTTTCTAAATTTTTTTATACAAATTGTGGCATACTCTTACACTAGTGTTCCTCACTTCGTAATATATATTGAAGATATTACCATAATTGTAAACAAGACTCATTTGTTAGGGCTGTAGGGTATTTCATTGTGTACATGTACCAGAATCTATTTCATACATTGAACATTATCGACATTAAGTTGTTCAAATATTTGGCTATCACAAACAACACTACTAATGAATAACCATGTATCATTTGTTTCACTTGAGTGTCAGTATATCTAAAGACTACATCCCTTGAAGTAGATTTGTTCAAATTAATAGTACCATATCACCAAGTACAGGTTTAAATGATTTACTTTCCTAACAGGAGTGTGTGAGATCAGCTTTTTCCGCACACTCTTCTCAACCCAAAGCGGGGTCAAACGTTTAGTCTTGGGCAATCAGCTTATTTAAAAATAGTATCTCATGTGGTATTAATCTGCATTTCCTTTATTATTAATGAAGTTTAGCTTATTATATGGTATACATATATATTTTATTTCCTTTTCTCTGAATTGTCTGTTTATGTATTTATTAATTTTTTGATTGGTTTGTGGTGTTTCTATTAATTTGTAATTGCTTTTTTATTAAGAAAACAAGCTCTTTCTAATATTAATTGCAAAAAATTTTTGTTTTTTGTTCTGCTATTTGCCTTTTGACTCTGCTTCTGGTGGCTTTTGAGCTACAGATTTGAAAATATTATGTGGTTGAATTTATAAGAAATTCAAATGCCTTCTGGGTTTTATGTAAGTGTTGGAAAGGCCTCTCCACTCCAAAACTTATAAATTAATTCTTCCATGGATTTTATGCTTTTTGTTTTTACATTCAAAATTTTTTGACCCATTTGGGATTTATTATGGTATGAGGCCCAGATCTGATTTAATTTTCTAGATTACTATCCATTTGTCCAAACAGTATTTATCGAATGATTCTTCTTTATGTAATATATTTATGGTAATAATCAAATGTAAAACATTGTTTATGGGAAAAAAAGTGAAGTTTAATCAAGCTCGTCACTGAAGGTATGCTTGGCTGAGTACTGTCTTTTCCTCCTGTGCTCTCCTCTCCTCTCTTTCTCTCTCCTCTCCCTACCTCCCCTCTCTGCTTTTCTTTTCTCACTTTTCTCCCAGTCATTAGATTTCATCAGTCTACTTTTACATCAAATGTATCAACACAGCTACATTGAAATGTGGCTAGTTCAGTCTTTTAGGGGAATAGATGTTTCTCAATTTTATTAGAAAATTTTTCATTTATAAATTATACCATGCAACTTTATTTTGAATCTTCTAGTGTGTTACTTTTCAGATCCTCTGGGTGAAGTTGCTGTAAGTTGGTAGCAGGAAATAGGTAATTGGTCAGTAGAAATGACTTTCATTTAAGCTAGAACACGAAACAAGGAGTACTAAATTTTAGCACCATCCTTGTCAAGTAAAAATGTGACCTTCATTAACAACTGAACCTCTTTGGCCCTCACTTTTCTCATTTTCAAAATTGATGTAAAGGATTTTGAGGTCTATGCAACTTTAAGATTCTAATATATTTTATTCTAACATAATCCTGTCTACACTACAGAGCTATTATGAAAGTCTAATGAGAAAAAGTACATGTAAAAACACATTCTAAGCTGTGTAGCAGTATACAAGAGTGCTAAAACCCACTGGAATAAATCTTACATACATACAGTCGTCTTTACAAGATATCTTTTTAGAATTAGAGTCTTGTATGCTTGATTGATTGATTGATTGATTGCATGTGTATGTTCAATAAGGGAGGCAAAGAAAAATAAATAATTTAAGTTCAAAAGGAGTACATAATCAATCCAATCATTTAAAATTTGCTGTAACTACCAGAGCATATGAGCCTGTACCTTCGTAGTTGATGCAACCATTAGAGTCTTCTTGACCTGCCAATAGCGTTTCCACTTCTTCCTCTTTCATCTTTTCACCTGATGAAGCAAAACTCTTTGTTCAGAAAAAAGGGCAGAGAATGTTTTCAAAATTACACCTTAAGTGATCAGTCTGGGGCTCCTGGAGACTATGACTATGCTCTTGGGGGTTAGAAACCAAGCCCTTCCTATTCTGCTGGCACTTAGAAGGTTGTCCATAAGTGTTTTTGAATGAATGAATTAAATGCATATTGTACCTGAATATGCAAACTATATCCTATGAGAACTACAATGCTTTACTTTACTTATTTATTACCAGTAATTTGTTATCATTTCCCCCAAATGAACTCATTGACACTGAAGCCACTTGAATTGGTCATTAACTTTTGACTTCTTTTTCATTTCTCTTTTGTAGTCTTTCCCTTTACCTTTCTTGGTTATAACATGATTTCCCTAAGTCATGCTCATTCTTATATATTCTATCCTATAATTCCAATGAAATAAATTCTTCTTACCTAGTGTGGCTAGAACGTGACGGAGTTCAGCACCCATGACTGTGCCATTGCCTTCCTTGTCAAAGACACGCAGACCCTCAACAAAGTCTTCATAAGTGCCCTGGTCCTTGTTGTTGGAAATAGCTTGCATCATGGGAAGAAATTGTTCAAACTCAATTTTCTTGGCATTCATCTCTGGAAGAAATTGCAAGTTGGAGAGTTATTGGCTACCATAATATGCCATCTCTGAGTATCAAATTACACTTGAAAGTTCATTCTAGGTGACCTGAAAAATCTTCATGCAGCTTAAATTTCAGTTGGTAAATTGCTGATGACAAAAATTTGGTAATAGATAATAGCGCTGGAGCCCTGGTGCTTGAACTTTTATTCCCAATCTACAATTTACAACTATGTGATTATGGGCAAATTTCTTGACCAATTTGTGCTTACATTTCTTTACTTCTAAAACAGAAATATTTCATAGTGTTAGTGTGAGAATTAAATGAAGTGACACAAGTTCATTACAGTACCCGAGACAACCGGGTACCTAATGTTAGCTATTTTATTAGTATTGTTAATTTACTATTTTCTGGAAATACTAGGAAAACAATCTAAAATTATACCGATACAATGAACAGTTGCATAGAAATATAATAAAACTTAACTGAACTTTAATATATATTCCATCTTTGCCCTGAGATTTTGGAAGGCCTTCAATTTCTTAAAATTTTAAGTGATTTTAAAAAAGAAGATTATAAGGAAAGGGTGTATGTCAAATGCTTCATGATCTACTGACTTTTTTTGCAGCTTAGAGGCCTACAGATGATGGGATTCTCCTTAGTAGATTTTGACAAGGTAAATCATATTCACAATAAAAGTGTAATACTGACTATCCAGGTGTATACACGTGGATAAAGTTATGTACCCCTAAAACCAAAATTTCCTTTTACTAGCCTTTCCTCAGAGAATAGAAATCTAGTACATTGAGTAATAGTAAAAAAGATTGAATCGAAATGCTGAATAAATGTATAGTTACCTAATAATTCCATTAAAGATGGATGTTTAATAAGTTAGAAATAGCACTTAAAAAAGAAGATTTGGCCTACTGCTCTTTCACTTTATCTCATGCTCTCAGCTACTTTTTGAGTGCTTTACCTGGAAACTTTCCTTCAAAGTCAATGAAGTGTTAGGAATAGTCTAGCAGACTGATTTAGAGTTAGGATTTTTTTTTTTTTGAAATAAGTTTTTCTTTTGCAACAAAGGAACATAGTCATTTTAATTATCAAGGAAAATAGAGATTATCTACTCTCTCTTTTTTTTTCCTTATGGTAAAGATAGCCCACATATCTACTTGATAACACTTCAATTTGCTCTAGTTTTTTGTTAGTTTTAGGGTGGTATTTTCCAATAGACCATTATACTTTGCCATGAACCTTTGGGATTTAAAATTTTCTTCTTGTTCCAGACTAAAGACTGGATTTCTGTAGTAAGCGAACAACTTCTGCAATTTCACCACCCATATATATCACTGACTTTAGTCCCATGATTTAACTTGGGTGACTGAACGCAGATTTGGCTTAGATTTTTGAGTCTTTCTGTAATTCTTTGGAAATAAAAGTACTTTTATTTAGATGTCATCGTGTCTTTCTCTATTAATATAATTGAGTTTCCTTTAAGATGGTCACAGAAGCAATGTGTCAAAAGACAGGCCAGTGGGCAAAGTCAGCACGTATATTCTGTCTCCTGAAAGCATCAGTTTCATTTCCCTGGCTTTTATCACAGTAGATCTTCTTCAGAGCTGTGCCATTGTAATTTACTCAAAACACCTTTATCAAAATGTAATTGTGCCTTTGCAGGTTTGGAAAAAAATATGTAGATTTGGATATCACTTCATTTCATTAACCTTTAAATTATAAACATTAGATAAAATGATGACAATGATGTTAGCATTAGATATTATTTCCTTTCATTAGCATGAAATTTTATCACAGTTGCAAATTCTCCAAGGAAGGTTAACTTACTTCATGAGGGAAAACACTGAAACTCTAGCCGGTGGCTCACTTACCATCAAAAACAAATTAAGCCCTATTCTGTGGAACTTGTTTCTCAGTACATCTCCCTTTCTCTTACGCTCTCCCCTCCCCCATATATTTTCTAACTTATTGGAAAAGCGTGAGGTTACCTTCATTGCTGGGGTTTCCCAGAACCTTCTTGACCTCTGCATTGGTGGGATTTGTGCCCAGAGCCCGAAGGACATCCCCAACCTGGCTTAAGGTGATCTTGCATTCACCTGTTCTGTCAAACAGTAGAAATGCCTCCTTGAAATCTGCAAGAAGCAAGAAGCATTAGGGTGTTTTTTTTCTAACTCAGACCTATAAATGAACCCTAATTTTACTGAAGATCCAGTTCAAACTCTCTACTGTTTTACAACTTTTGCCAACCTCTTAAGTTGTGATTGTTTGACTCTTCTTTTTTCTAGTTCCAACAATCATTGATAAACCCTTTTGACATTTCATTTGGGGGCTATTTTAAAGCAGCATTTCCAATTTCAAGTCATATATTATTGTTAATCAGATATGGAAATTGGAGCTCTTAGTCACTCATATTTCCTTCATCTGCTTGGGAAGCAGGACTGGGTCAAGAAATTCTGAGGCCTTAAGAATTTCTCATATAATTAACAAAGTTAATCAAATTTCAAGACAACAAATTTTCAAATGGGGTTGTGTTTGTGAGGTAACCCAAATTTCTCAAATTTGTACCTTCTCTTGAGGTACAAATTTCCTAAATACTTCCCTTAACTAGTTTTCTTCAGAAGTAACTTCATTTTTCAGGAAAAAAAATTAGAAAGGTGAGAAAAATCTCTAAGTTCTGTAAGTGGTCATTTAACCACTTCAGTGCATGATTCTAATAGGAATCAATTCAGAAGGGGGAATATTTGTTTGGATCTGTTGCTATGGTAATCTTTTCAGGTAATACATATAACAATATGTTGCTACCTTAGCTTTAGATTTAAGTACACATTTTATGGAGATAATTGTAGAGCCACATGCAATTTTTAGGAAAAGTACAAAGAGATGTCTTATAAATACTCTGTCTAGTTTCCTCCAATAGTAACATTTTGCAAAATTATTGTATATTGTGGAAACCAGGATATTCACATTGATAGACTCGATCAATTTCATTCAGATTTCCATTTTACTTGTACTCATGTGTGTTCGTATATAAGTACATATTCTTAAATTGCCTTTTTAAAAATCCCAATCACTCTCTTCCTTAATTCTCCTAAATTTTGCCATTCTCCTTTGATAGAATGGTTTTGCCATTCAGAATTGCATCAACATAAAAAATTACATAAAAAATTAAGACTTGTACACACCAAAAAGACAGAAAGGGGTAGTACTATGGATTAGGGGCAGGTAAAGACACTTTAACTGAACCTTCTAAACTTAACTAAATGAAATTTCCTGGGGATCCCAGGAATACTGATAGTAACTTGTTGGAGTTAATACTAACAACACTCAAAAAATCATTTGTGGTTCTTTTTTTCTTTCTGCTGCGTAGTATTCCATTGTGTATATGTACCATAATTTTTTGATCCAATCCTCTACTGATGGGCATTTAGGTTGCTTTCAACACTTGGCTACTGTAAATTGTGCTGCTATGAACATTGGGGAAGCATGGATGGAACTGGAGAGCATTATGCTAAGCGAAATAAGCCAGGGGGCAAAAGACAAATACCATATGATCTCACCTATAAGCGGAACCTAACCAACAATACAAAGATGCAAGGAAAATAAGACCAGCAACACTGAAAGGAAAAGAAATCAACAGAGACAAGGGGAAAGGGGGGGGGGGCGGGGAAAAGGAAGGGAAGGGGAAAGTCAAGGAACAAATAGCAAGAACTCATGGACAAAATCAAAGGGGAAGAGCTGAGGGAGGGAAGGAGGGCGGGGGCAAGGGAAAGTGGTGGGGGGGTAGGCAGAGACAAATGTATTTGAAAAAATAAATAAAAAAAAATCATTTGTGAATGAAAGAGGGGAAAGCAATCTTCTCTCAGGCCGTTAGTGGTCTCGGATCAAAAGATGCCTTCTAGATAGATTACTCAGCAAAATACCCTATTTTACTGTCTCTCTATCCCTTAACCTAAGATTGCACTAGACATACCCACTGTCAACCATAGTGATCATGTACCATTCTTTGCTAAAATTTCCTCCTCATATTCCATGCAGTTTGACTATATATAAAAAAAAATCATTCCCCTCGTCTGAAAACATGCCGCAGGCACTGTAGGGTCATTAGTCAAATATTACTTTTCATCTTTCTAAGGGATATGTGAAACTGAACTATTCTTGTTACTGGCTCCAGGCTTTCATGCACAAATTGCTCAGAGGGTTCACTACCACCCTGGTCAGAGGCTTGATATAGAAATAGGATTTTATGGGCTGTAATAGAATCTCTCTGACATTAACCCTCCTGTTAATTTAAAGGCTAAGGCCAGAAAGATACGGTTTTTCTGACCGCAGAATTGTAAGGCTTAAGTTTTTATCTTGGAGAGTCTAGAACTGGGGTTAGCAAACTCCTGCCATAGGGGCTGGCTACCTGTTTTTACAGGTGATTGGAACACAGCCATTCGTGTATGTATTGTCTATGGCTGTTTTCCTACTTCAACAACAGAGATGAGTTCTTTTTACTGAGACTGTATTTGCCCATGAGGCCTAACGTATTTACCATTTGGCCTTTTAAGAAAATATTTGCCAGCCCCTGGTCCAGAACAACACTGTCCTAGAACTTTTTGTGATGAATGAAATGTCCTATATCTGGGATGCCCAAAAATGTAGATACTAGCCACCTGCAGCTCTTGAGCACTGAAAGGTAACCAGTACAAATGCGAAAGTGGGTTTTTAAATGTATTTATTTTTAACTAATTAAAGTTTACTTTTAAATAGCCACACGTGGCTAGTGGAAACTCTACTGGACAGCATAGGAGGACTGAGACCTTTGGAATGCTCTAACTTTCTGGTTGTTATTTCTTCTTTCCTCCAAACCTGTGTTACATTCAAATAGAGCACACTTGAGCAAAACTGTTCACTAAACATGAAGTAAACAAAGGAAGTCTTCATTCCTTTCTGAAAGTGTAGGGTTTCAATTTAATTTAAAATGGTACTGAAAGAAATTTGTTTTCCTGGCACAAAAGAAAACCAGTCTGCCACACCAATGTTTACCAAAATTCTATATCTAAAACCTACTTCATATATGGAGTAATAGGTTTAGTAGTAATAGTTTAATAGTTTTAATGCTTTCCTTCTGTCCATGTAAGGGTTTTTATTTTTCTATTGCTTGGTCCTACCATAGTTTGGCTGTCAAAATGACACTGTAAATTAGATATTTAATAGGACTAGGGTGTAGTAGCTGAAAATGTAGCAGCATCACTAGTTAAAAATGCACTAAAAACCAAATTATAGTAGAGCTATCAACCTGTTTCAATAAGAAAAAATAGCCCTTTGTAGTATAATTTCATATGATATTGAGTTCTGAGTCATTGAATCATCTAATCTGTCTCTTTGAGGCTATCAACCATGGTGTGGATACATGTGAGTCTGTACTACAGAAAATATCCTTGTTTTTCTTAATTGGTGTTTGAACATGAGATAGTTTAGGCACTAAAACATTGAAAAATGTGTAATTATTTAGGTAGATAAGTGAGTGTTGGAATAGGTCCTTATTAATCACTTACATTTATTATTACACATATATACCATAACCTGTATAATATATACATATTTATGATTATGACCAAGATTCTAATTTATATATCATATAACTAATTTTTTCTCCCCTTCCCTTCTATACATGTATTTCTATCTCATTTTGTGTGATATGTGACATTCTCACTGCATAAAACATGCCTCGCTATACTTCTAGTGAAAAAAAATATGATTTTGTGGGGCAAGGGATTCTTGGATTCCAAGACTGAAAAGACAAAAAAATGGAAATGTTAGGGAAAGTATTCAGATTCTTTTGAGTTTTAAGAGTTATTTTTATGAAAGAAATTTTTAATTAATTTAAACTAATACCAGATTTTGATCCTATCCTTAATTTTTTGGGCCCTCAAGCACGTCCCATCCCTTCCCTGCGAGCTTGCCCTGCATCACTAACGATGCATCAGGAGACAACTACTGTCTTTTCCCCAAAGTTTTATGATAAATACTCCTCTCTCTTTGTCTCTGAATTTACTTTTATTTTACATCCACTTCACCTGGTATTTCTCTCAACACATCACGATGCCCATTGAAATTATGTAGATTTGGTAATTGGCAGTTTCATAATCAATTTTATTTTCCAGACTGAGCAGTTCAGTCCTGCCAAATCTGTCTTTAAGGATTTGATGAACAAATTAGCCTCCCAAAATCTACGTCTTTTGGGGGGTATACGTATGGTTTTGCTTACCGTATCAGATTGGCTTTACTTAGACATCAGCGAATGTAAGGACCTATTTTTTAGTGTTTATTGTTTGCTCAAACCTCTGATTATAAGCAAGAGATTTGGGTTGTTGAGAGAAGTTAGAGTGACTGGGAACATTTATATTTAAAGTGGCAACACCAGTGGAGGGTAATTAGGAAGAGCTAACCTCAAGGGAGTGGTTTTCCTGCATGCCATCTTTGGGAGTGTGCACATATTAACAACAATATCTTTTAAACTTACCATCCTGCTGTTCCTTAGAGAACTCGATCTGTTAGAAAGAAATTAACCATAAAGAATACTTTAAGCAAACAAAATGTCCTGACTTTAAAGTGTATCCAAGCTCATCCCGAGTCATCTTTAAAGTAAGCTCTCAAAGTAAGCCTACTTTTCAGAGCTCAGGTGTAACTTGGACACTAACAGGTTGAGCCACATAGTTAATATGCCTTGAAGATAAGTGATATTTTTGAAACTAGGCAGTGCTCTGCCTACATGTGGAGTAGAGAAGGTCAATCTACTTACCAGCAATCTGATCAGCACTGAAGGACTGCAGTGGCGAGAGGGAGGGAGAAAGAAAGAAATAACTAGGACTCTTTCAAATGCATTGACAGAAGAATTGAGTGCTCTCTCCTCTGAGATTTTTAGGAAGTCATGTAGGTGTCATAGAATAAGAAGGTTGCCTTAGGATACCTTTGAATCTAGTAAAAATAAAATGCTTTTGCAGAAGATAGTTAGGGAACATCTCTGTTAATTAATAAATAGATGACTTAACAAATGCCAAGTCAAATACTTCCTGAAGAGTAAAAATAATCTGGTGTATTTAAGATATGTCTAATACATATACATGGTATTAAGAAGTACAGATGCATTGCATTAAAAAGATCACCTTAAGTCTTCTGTTTAACCATCACATTTTTACTTAATACATTGGAATTAGTTTACTTTACTTTAGAAATTGGCATCATTAGATTGTCATCATTTGAAGGTGTAATATTTTTCTATAGTTGCAAGGTTTTTATTCTAAATTTAGATATAATAAACTTTACGTGATATAGCAAAAGTTGATGAAACATAAAATACTACTTTTGGGAGTAAATTGCATTTTTCCAGCTGGCATAATAGCTCAAATTAACCTCTTCTTTCCTCAGCCCCCATCAACAAAAACCCAAAGTAGGTTCTAAAGACTCATATTGAATGTACTCTCTCCCCAGTTCTATTTTTTGTCTGCCTTTCCCCCCCGCAAAATGTAACATCCACTCCCCATTTCCTCCTGTAAAGACAAATACTTTTCTCATAGGACCCACCATGATGGAGCCGCGGGGCTGCAATGCAGTGGCGAGGCTGAAGAGTGAGCTGAGGGCTGCTCCAGTCCCTGCTTGGGGGCCACCCTTGCTGAGGTGGCCTTTTATTTCTGGGGAAGCTGTGACCTCACAGCTAGCATCAGATTTCAGAGAGAAGAGGCCCCTCCCCTTGGAGAGTTCCTTAGCTTTCTTAGGGCAAAGAGAGAGAGGAATCTGTACCCTGAGGGCTATTTTTAGGAAACCACAAAGTTGGAGTAGACATCCATAGTGAGTCCGAAGCCTGTCAGTACTTTTATGGTCTTGATTCCTGAGACGTTCTCCTGGGGTGTCTTCCTTCAAGAAGCTTCTTATTTGTTCAGTGGCAGGGGAGTTTCAGATTTCTCTGGGGGCTTGGGCTCACCCCTTCTCGCCATGAATTTGGGACTTTGCAAACTTCAAGTGAGCAAGTTTGGGTGTTAATGAAACTTATCGGATAGGGCTGGTTTGGGGTTTCAAATGGCAACTGCTGCAGAAAGAACATCCTTTGAAGCACTGCCTGTTGTGGCAACATTCAGAGGACCTGAAACACATCATACATTTGTGTGTTTCTTAGGGTTCACCCAAATGGTGATCTGCTCAGTTCTTGACATCTGCAATTAATTTAATTTTGTAAACTGTATTCTAAGAAGTATAAAGCTTGCCTAAGCCAGGAATGGTTTTGATCTTTGTTTTTCACCATTCTCCCTTAGTTACCCTAGGAGTGGGTATTTTCCTCTCTCCCTGTTATCTTTATGGTGGTTGGCCAGTCAGGTTTTTTGACTTTCTGAAGTTCTAGGCAGCAAAGAGGATACGCTCTGTGTGTGTGTGTGTGCGTGTGCGTGTGCGTGTGGGTGTGCGTGTGTGTGAGTAAGCTTCATTTCTGGTTCTTTTTAAAAAATTAAATGTATTGAGGTGACATTGGAAAATAACATTATATGAGTTCAAGTGTACAATTCCATATGCCATCATCTGTATATTGCATTGTGGTCTCGCCACCCAAAGTCTAGTCTCCTTCTGTTGCTGTATATTTGACCCCTTCTACTCTCTTCCGCCTCCCCCTTTCCCGCTTTCCCTCTCGTAACCACTGTTTTGTTATCTGGTGATAGATCATTTTTTGCATTATTTTCCCCTCCTATTTGAGACTTTAAAATTTTGTGTTAAGTTCTTAGCAGAAGGTGCTGATTCTGTTCCTGTCATGTCACACATTTTAAGGCTCAGTCTCCAGACTGAGAAACAAAATAACCCAGAAGAGGGGCTGTGGAATGCAAAGCCGTGCCTGAGAATTTTAAAGGTATCTCAGGGATTGGCTGGTAATGGCTTCTCATGAGAAGAGGGGGCACTCTCTTCCGAGAATGGTACTGTAGAAAATGGTACTAGGAAAAGATCGGTCTTTGTATGTCCACGAAAGTTCATACAACATGTTTGTCACATTCCTACACACTTAAAAGCACACAGACATAAAGAATGTTAGTAATAAATTCTTACTTAAGTACTGTTTCAGCAACCGTTTTTATGGAAATAGTCATAGAAAACTTGAAGTTTCCCTTGCTAGACAGATGTATACTTTATGGCCTTCCTTCAAGCATTTACAAAGAAGTCAACATTTACATGCATATTACTTTTTGTCCAAAGAATATGAGTAGTGAAAGAAATCTCATAGGGTCTTGAGTTCCAAAATAAAGATTGAAAATATAATAATTTTTAAAATAGTAGTACCCAGGTAAACATATCTTCATAAATAGGTTGACATTTTGAGAGGGTTAGTAGAAAAATTTAAATGCTTTGAATCATTAAGGGTTAATGGATGGGAGGTCAAAGTGGAAATTTATAATCTTTGATAATTGCGTAATTTGAAGCCTCATGATTCTGATGCAAAAATTAAAGCCTTTAGAGCGGGCCATGTTTCTTTGTGTTCTTTTTAGTCTTGTAATTATATGTATTATGTCATTAAATTTGAATTGCCTATGATTAATACTGAGAACTAGCATATAAATATAAATAATACAAAATAAATTCATCAAAGTTGCCCGACATAATTCTCCCTTTAATTTTTTTTCAAGTAGAGAAGTGTATCCTTCTATAATGGTAAAATATGGTCAATTTGTACAAAATCTGTTGAATAAACCAGAAAGTCATTTTAAAAGTTATATTTATGTTATGAATAAGCTATTTCAAACCACTTAGGTATTATGTAAAGGTTTAATATTATTAAAATAGAGGAGGTGGGCAGTTGCCAAACTACTTACCTCTATTTCTTCCTATATTTTTATCCACAGAGAATGAGAGTTTAGATTGTTTTCTGTAGATATTGAGAGTCAAAGTAAACATTTAAGCAAGTTACTAACAACAGTGCGAAGGCTGCCGTCTGGTGTAGAAAATAAACTATAGTTTACGAGTTAGAAAGCCTAGTGGCTGTGCTGATAGGAGAAATGGGAAAAGCTGTTTATTCTCTGGAACACTTTTACAAATGACAAAAACTTTTCTCTGGAATCTGTTCTGGTGTTACCATGGGGAAGTAACCAGCCCTTTGAACATGACTTTGAAGAATACAAAATGGCAGCTGATCTTGAACTCAGTTTACTATGTCATCATTCAGTTTGTTTTAAAAATGAGATTTAAATCTTTCCTATCGGGAATGCTCTTCTCTCATCTCTGCTTCTTAGAAATTAACTGTTTTTCAAAGTCCTGATAAAATCTCCTCCTCTTGAAAGCACCTTTTACTCACCGAGATCCCTCCTTCCACTCAAAGATGATGCCTAACCTTCCCTACTGTAAACTTCTGGGTAGCACAGGTCATTATGAAAGCCATTTACCTTTGTCCATGATGTGAACCCAGATCAGGCTTACCCCAACCTCTCTCTTTTGAAGAGCTGCCCCTGGCCTTATTCTTGATTTTATCCCCCATAATTATAAAACACTTGCCTATATTAGATGCTCAACAGATTTTCATTAAGTTAATATCATTAGAACATATATAATATGTTCCTTCTTCAAACATAAGCTCCTCCTCTTAAATATTCTATTCTGAGGGAAGAGATTTCATCAGTCCCCTCAAAGAGCTCATGTTCTATTACATTTCAGTCACCTACAACTGCCAGACACATAGTAGGCATGCTTATCTTGAATTATTGATGTATGTGTCTTTAGATTTCAAGAACCTTTTCTTAGTTTTTGTGTAAATGTGTATGATCAGGACTTCTAATGTGCAAACCTTCCATTTGTTTTATTTTTTCCCATCTCTGCGTACATGCTTATATCAGACTGATAGTAAAATAACTACATTTCACATTTGTATGAGCCATGTACTGTTTAGTATTGGATGTAGGTAGGTAGTACTATACAAGGTACTGGTACTAAAAAGGATTTTTGTCACAATATTTACAAATCTTTTCTCACTTTGAGAAGCATTTTTCTAATAGTAATCATGAGGTTTGGTTAACTGATTAAAGACAAGATAAACTCTGGTATACAGCAGGAATTTATTTATAGGAAAAATATTAAAATGCATTTAATCAAACAGGCTCTGGAATTAATAGTATTAACCAATGTCATTCCAATAAATTTAATAAAAAATAAATATTAAAACACTGCTAAAAAATTTGGTAAAAGAAGAACCATAATTAACGGTGATTTGGGAGATATGTGTTGTTGAATACTGAGAAACAATGCCCTAGAGAGGAACACGGACTACAGCCTTCAAACAACTTCATCATCACTGCAGTGGGGCTAATGACTGGTGAAGTTGAGTAAAGCAGTTGATCTAACCAGGGCCAGCTTTCAATCAAGAAAGCATTGCTGCAGGTTCTCTGGTTTAATGCCTGCAGAGAGGCAAAGACCTGGATGTATGCAAACCCTAAGGAAAACTTAATCTATTAATTTTCAGTCCAAACTCACAGAGTTACTGGAAATCACTATAAAAGACCAGCAGAAGTATTATTTTGAAATGGAGTCTTGTATTTCAGAATAACTGACTTAATTTAAAGGAAGTATCTTTTTGCATTTTTTTTTTTTACCTCAACAAAGGATATACTTAGGCAGATGACTGTACTGTGGTATAGAAAGGAGAAATTAAGAACAACAAGAATATAGTACTGGCCCAGATAGTCTAATATAGGGGAGAATAGATAGCTATATTGGATAGTTGATCTGAACAGAGGAAGAAATGAATAATTCTCTGTGAAGATGAATAGACTAGTCAACTAAATTCAGACAAATTAGATCAAAAGCTAAATTATTAAAGCATTCCAATTCAGACCTCCAAGAAATTCACAGAGAGACCTAAGTAAATTTTAATAAAAATTTAAAATGTGACCTAAGTCAACACTTCAGATTTCTCATCACCTTTCCCATGGTTAATAGTTGATAAATATTCTTATATTTAAATATTCTTATATTTAAATAGTTGATAAAAATTCTTATGAGTTGTACATTTTTTACTTTGTGTATTTGTTTGCATGTAACTTGTTGAATATCCAAGTTGTGTTTTTGTTTCTTCCTTTCTTTTTTTATTTTTAAGATATGATCATTAGAAAAATGTTGTGTGTGTTGTTAAGAAATTATAAGTATGTTTTTTCCTAATTTTTGGGGAAATAAGTTGTTTTCATGACAACAGGGATATGTGAATATTACCATTAACCATTTTAGAGATTTCAGGTCTTTAGATATGATGGAAAGAAAACTAAACAGGGATTAAACCCCTCAGAATTTTCTTCCAGCTCTCCTATAACAAATCATGTGTTTTTGGATTAAATTACTTCTCTTGCCTTCATTGTAACTTACTCAAATACAAACTACTACATTTAATGATTTCTAGGGTCGCTTTATGGTTCTACAGTATTGTGAGTTTTCCATCTTTTTGTCAGTAGAATCTACTCCAGCTATTTTTTCTAAAAGAAAAGGGCAAGGTGCCTAAAAATTTACTTACTAACATTATTTTGAAGTAGTGTAGACAAAGGGGAGTCCAGCAAAATGTACTTTCATAACACCATGTTTAGCTGAGTCAGATGTTTTATAAACATGAGAGAGTGTATACCATTGGGCATTTACTAGGTTTAAAGAACCCCAGTTGCCACAGTGGAAAGAAGACTATGAAGTGGATCATGATGTGATTTTATCTTTGAGGAGAAGTTCCTTCTCTAAGTTCAATTCACTATTATTAATTTATGACTAGAATAGCAAGGATTTATCGTCATTATAGTTTAACTTATAGCTAGTGTAACTGAAGCCATTACTATTTGTATATTATAATTTTGCCCTCCAAATCCTGATTTGGATGAGAAGCAAACTGTAGAAACTTGATGTAGAAACAAACTATAAAAGATCCTATTTTCATACAAAAAGTATTTCA